ATAGGTCTGCACTGCAAGGTGAAAAGGAGTAACCGGGATGAGTCTTTATATATATATGTACTTTCTCTTTCTGACTCACTCGTGGGTGGATGGGTGGGTTTGGTGAGGGTTCTTCCTTATCAAAACGGAGCAGATGGCGTGTAATGTTTTGGGGTTCGACCATGCGTTCCCAGGAGACACTCCAGCCCCTGCCTTTCCGGAGTGTGTGGGAGATCCCTCAGTTGGTGGCAGCTTGTGAGACCATTAACGTAGCAGCGTTACGTCAAAAGCTGGGCACCAGTTTCCTCTCCGGTGGATGGCAAGCCATGGATCTTAACAACAAGCTGGTGCAGAGGAGTCCTTTGAAGCAGCTTCCGCTTGAGGTCTCCGTACTATATGGCTACTTCCCACACCATGTGCACCTGGACCAGGTGCCAGACTTTGTGGTGTCGTCAGTTCCAGCCCCCATGACTCCGGTGCGGTCGCAATCGTCGGTCGATAGCATGCAACCCATGCAGATGCCCTCGCCACAGGCTTCGGCGCCAGGGCCACCAGGAGTTCAAGTTGGGGCTTCTAAACAATCAGTCAGCTTCGCCCCGTCAATGGGAAGCTTTGGTCCAGACTCCTTGACGAACCCTCAACGGATGTGGAGGCAGCCAGTCGGAGACGAAGTGCCCGAAAGCAGCTGCACCTTGACACATTCCTTGTGCCTCCGCGAGGTCACCATCTTCCCGGGCCGAATCATGGTTCAAATGGACTATCGCGCAACAGCAAGCGATCCTCGCATGGCCGACGTGGCCGACACCTTTCCGATCTTGAGTTTTTGCCTTGGAGATGCTACGGAAGCGAATTCCGAAGACATGACCGCAACCACCTCACAAACCGAAGACGGAAATAACAACTTTGTCTTTGATGTTGTTTGGAGTTTGTCTCCGGTAGGGTTGATCAGAAGAGGAATGCCAGACCTGCCAATAGATTTTCGGACTCAAAGCAGCATCTCCTTGTGGTGCTACATCCACAGCCTGGATGGGACACCTTGCAGAGAGGTTTGCTTTTCCGTGCCCTTCCCCGAGCTCTGCCGGACCGACGAGTGGTTGCAAGCGCAAAGCGCACTGCCAACACGCTTTCCACAGCTCAATTTGAACCAGTTGCTGCAATATTTGAACGAAGTGCCAAAAAGTTTGTTCTTCCGGGACCTCCCCTCCTTTGCGATGTCTCTCAGCCAGTTGAGGACAGTGCTCCTGGCCGACATCGATGCAGGGACTATGATGCAGGGCCGGATTTTGGCAGCCATGGCTTCCGGCATTTTTGCCGTAGCCACTTATGGCTTCAACTTTCTGATCGCCCAACATGGCTGGCGGATGGAGACCCTTGCGACCAATGTGACGCAGGGTTTTCACATTTGATGCCAGGGCCTATTCACGGTTCTCCGGCCAAAGGTCGGCCCGCAAAGTTGCGTCCAAAGTGGCGTTTTCTTAGGCTGTGCGCATCGCAAACCAGATACAAGCGCGGAAAACACATACACCCCAGCGCTATGAACAGAAGCTTGAACAGAAAACATGAAAGGAGGGAAACGGCGGAAATGCCTTCTTTCCTGAAACACCGAGGTCTGAAATCAAAGTTCTCCGAGCTTCCGTGGGAAGTAGCCTCTTAGCTACTCCAGTTGGAGAGGACAAGACTTGTGTTTTGGGAAATGTATGTAAGACATTGTAAACCCTTTTGGGTCGTCCTGAGGCAAGTCCAATACTCTGGATTTCTTCCTGTCCAAAGCGCCCACTATGACGAAGGCGCCTAGGTTCATGGGTTGTGGATTGACGGCAACCGACGCTTGTCGAATGAATGAAGGAGGAGGCCGCAGAGGCTTTGAGCAAGAGCTATGAGAAGAAGCCATCGACCTTCCGTGCCTCGTCACCGAGTCGTGTGAGACGCCATGAGACGCCTGAGTCGTGTAGGGTCCATCGCTAGGTCGCTAGGTTGGAGGCCATTGCTATTAGGGACACATTCCAAGTTACAAGTCAAACGTGAGGCTTCAGAGTTGCTTCGGAGTTGAGGCTTCAAACTTCTGAAATCCAAAGTGGTGGACCGCAGCAGTGGGCGGATCCTGAGGCGTGTCAGCGCTCCAGACTCCCCACGCATTGCTTCCTACTCTTTTAAAAATTATTGTTATTCCTTTCATCTCTTTGATAAAGTGCTGTCAAGTCCAAGGTCCAAGACCCTTAGAAAGGTCAAATCGAGTGGAGTTTCGAGATGTCTCGAGTCATCTCTGAGGTATGGCTTCAGCGTTGCACGCTGTGAAGGCGCACAGGCAGAGATTGAAGGCCAGCGAGCCTGCGTCAAGTTTGGGATCCCAGATGCGCAGTGGGCCACTGCGCAAAGCAAAGCTCCAAGTGGCTGAACCAGTGGGCAGACAGTGGCAGTTGTGTGTTGGCAGACAGTGGACAGACTGTAACCATTTTGGCTCAAGTGCCTTTTAATCAGATTTTGATGAAGCTAACAAACAACCCCTCGATGATTGAACTCTTTGCCAGTGGGGCGATCACAGCAAAGTTGTTGAGGTGGACAAAGTCAGCAGGTTTGATGTTGGAATTCTTTTATGGGCCCCCAAGCGAAGCAGATTATATAATATAACTTCTCTTCAGTATGCAGTGAAAGACAAGTCTTGAGAAACACATTCTTTATTTATTTATTAAGATCAAAAAAACACATTAGGTTATTGAACAAAAATAGGGATCAGAAACACAACACATAGGGATCAAGAAAAGCAAATCCAGAGAAGGCAGGAAGAAAGGAAGGCAGGCAGGAAGGAAGGAAGGAAGGAGTTTCACAATCTCTTTCTCCAAGGCTTGCCAGCCTGGCCCCCCACCAAAAAGGATCATGTGTGAGTGTGCGAAGAAGAACGGCATTGATTGAAGTGTATGTTTAAGCAAACGCTACTACTACTACCACTACCACCACCACCACTACTCCTCCTGCTCCTGCTCCTGCTCCTGCTCCTGCTACTCCTACTCCTACTCCTACTCCTACTACTACTACTACTACTATCAAATGCGTATAATAGCGCAGGCCTTGTATGATTTTGCCAAGTTGCTTCGAAGTGTGAATCGCTGGCAAAGTGATGTGTCTTGCAGCTGGCAGAATTGCCCACTGCTCACTGCCTACCTTTCAGTTCATAGCGCACGCGCGGCTGCGGACTACGCCCTTCCGTGATCTGACGCTGGGATCAGTCGGCGGTCATGAAATCGTGTTTGTTAGGAGTGCGAGATTTGCCCTTTCGGAGTACACAAAAAAATGAAAGAACTAGTTTCTTTGACAATGACGTGTCGCAAGACCTATACTTGGGACGACTCATGGTTTCGGCGGCCTAGGCTTCTGCAATCCTTTTCATTTCGGTTCACGCAGAGTTTTGAAGCCACGAGCTGTTCCAAGGCCGGGCACTGAGGACAAACTCGAAGCAATTGCGAGGCACCCGTAGTGGGGAGATGGATTGGTGTAGTTAGTTAGTTAGTTAGTTAAAGTTAGTTTGTTTGTTTTTGCTAGTTGTAGCTTAGCTTAGTTTAGCTTAGTTTAGTTTGTTTGCTTTGCTTTGCTTTGCTTTGCTTTGCTTTGTTTGGTTTTGTTTCGTTTGGTTTTGTTTGTTTGTTTGTTTGTTTTCTTATTAACATGGACATGAACATTGACTACCGGCATATCCATGTCCCACAAAAGACTTATCAATCGGTGTGGTTTCAAGAGCAAATTGGCAATAGTCGAAGTGTTTTCCAGGTTTCAAGATGATGTGTTCCGGCTAAAGCGGCTTAGTTTGAGTTTACCACAGATGTGAATAGAGGTCCACTTTCCATGCCAAGCCAAGCCAGGCCATGCCACATATGCCAGGTGTGCCAGGTCGGGCCTTCCATGCATGCCGTCCGCCATTATCGTCCGTAGGCATTGGGAGGTGGCCACAACGGTGACCTCCACCGATGGCCATGAGCCGTATGCTCTTTGGATTGTGGAACCTTGGATGCGTCATGCAAATGGCCGTCTTGGAATATTCAGTGAATATAGATAGATACTGCAATGGAACGTGCAATATATCAATATGAATGAATCAACTTGTGGGTTTCAATGATTTCAGTAGGGCAAACATGGGCAAACGATGTCTTCTGTTTGTTGAGGATTGCATAGGCCTCTGAAACTGCAGAACAAATCAGTCCTGGTCAACACGATGTGACTACATCCTCTTAGGGTAGAGGCATTCCCTGTTGCAACAACACCAATTCAGAAGGTTCAGGGTGCATGTCCACAGCATTCAACTGCTGTATGGAAGTTGGGTATGCCAGACCCCAAACATGAATTTCCACACTGGATTTGCTATAGCCCACCTTCCAATTTCAAAGACCTCAACCAAAGCAGTGTCACCACATGTCCGGCAGGAAATAAGTTGGAATCGAATCATCGTGTGTCTAAAAGACCCATTAATTACCGTAAATCCATCTAAATCCTAGTATTTTGAGCATTACAGGCTTTGTTTCCCGCTTCAGTTGATGGCGAGCGGCGACATCTTGTGTTCTTGATAGATGGACGACTGCTTAAGTGCCCAAGCGCCCATTTTCTGCGACAACTTGTGTTGGATGTCCCTGACTAACACAAATCACTAGTTGAAACCGTTGAAACCGTGATCTCAAGGAATGCAGTGTGCCTTCTGACAAAGAAATCGTGGACAGCTTTGGTGTTCCTTGGACTCCGAAAGTTGTGGTTTCCATTTGGACCTGTTAGCGAACAGAGCTTGTCGACTCTGCTGCGTCATGTCGTCATGCTGTTCTACTTAGACAGCTTCAGATCTTGACTTGACAAGGGCCCTGCGACCTAGGAAGATAATCTTTAGGTGCTTGCTGCTTACTCTTGATTAGCCCATATTTGCCAAGGCCATCATCACACTTACAGTAAGGTTTTCTCCACTACCCCCTGTTACTGTCTTTTCTTCAGCTCTAGTTCTGGGCCCTAGGCCTTGCAAGTCACGGATAGACTTCCCTTGCAAATGCCAAGGTTGGGACCAAGGCCCAGCTTGATGAGCTCACATGAGATGATGAAGTCGTCTCTGAAGAAAAGGCAATCCAACTAGCTCAGAGTGACCATGACAACAGAAGTGGACAAGTATAGCCGCATAGCCAAGGGGACACAAGGGACGGAAAGAAGGGGAAATCAGTCAGCTTTCTGGAGCAGGTGTTCATCATTGGGACCGTATTTCTTTGGACCCAGTCAAACAAACAATCATCAGCTTTGTGCTGTATGCATATACCCAATGCTTGGCAAATGGCTCAAATTTGGCAACTTCAAACCTCTCACAGCACATGACAGATATGCCTTGGCCAATTATGTCCGAAGCGGGGCCAGAAGACTTACCAATCCTAATCTTTTCGAACCGTGTCACGGGTCAAGATCCATGCAGCATGGCACGACATGGCACGACCGGACGACCGCAAGAGAACAGCTACCGAAAGGGTCACGGTCACCATCGGGTAAGTAGAGCCGATGGCGCAGCCACTCTCTGACGAGTTCGCTTCCTCAGAAAGAAGTTCGCTTCCAGGTGTCCACCTAGTAGCAATGCCCTTTGCTCCTAGTAGCTTCTTGTTCCTAGTAGTAAGGCCAGGAGCGCCTCTAGTAGCGTCCTTGCTCCTAGTAGCTTCCAGGTGTCCACTTCTCTTAGACTTCGGGCACGTGCACAAGGGTGCAAGGTGTATCGGTGGGTGATTTCTTCAGTTCTTTGTCACGAAAGCTAGCTGCTGTAGCTTGCGTGGGAACTTGGGAAGCCAGGACCTGAGTCCTAACCCCTAATATATCAGGGATATACCCCCCCTCTGCGGGTTCAACTCACCCCTTCCCCCCTGACCGTTTCTCAGTTCCCAACGTGGTCGCTGTTGCTGTTGCTGCTTCTTTGCCGCTGCTGCTGCTGTTTCTATGTGTGTCTGCTGCTGCTGGCTGCTTGCTGCTTGCTGTTTGTCTGCTGCTGCTGCTGCTGCTCGGTTTGCACCAAACCACGGTTTGCACCAACCACCGTCAACACCGCCCCAGCGCTGCTTCTTCCCCTAGCTTTCACCACCCCACCTGGGCCACAAGTTATTCAAACTGATGTCTTTCGCCCAAAAGATGTACTTATAGTCTACTTATAGTAGTTATACATCATTCTGGCGATAGGCCTGATCCATGTTAAATTTTTACGTCCCTCTATGGTGGGTCGGCTGGAGGGGATTTATCATACAGGATGTTTGTTTCAGTGACGGCGTGACGTGTCCCTTGGGCTCGACGTCCTCAGGTCCAAGGGCTCGACGCAGGGCGAGCTCATCCGCGACTATGCGCCAGCAGACGGTGTTTCATGGCGCTTTGGCCGGCCCGACTACGCCGCATCCTTAAGCAGTTCTCTGTCTCGAACCTGTAGGGGCGCTTGACAAAGGAACACCATGGAACAACACCTTCTTTATGAATAGGCCTTTCTTTGTTGGCATCTTCACTTGCCACATTTCCTCCATACCTTCGCTGTTGAAGAGTTGTGTCTCCGGCATGCAAGCAAGTGTTGAGGCAAAGGTCAACACCACGTACTTTAATCACCGCACCATTGCCCATCAAGAGGGTTCTTTGGAAGCCCTTGTGTCTTGGCATATTTGGCGGGATGGCTGCGTTTTCATGAATTGTGTTGCAATTCATGAAATAACACGGAAGAGACTCAACGATTCATCTCCTTTCTGAGCAGGTGTCAGGTCCAGGTTTGCTGTCATGGATCCAAGAGAGTGAAGACAGACTTCATGCCTCTGTCCAAGTCTAAGTTAGTCTAAAGAGTCTGAGGTACAGAAACTGATGAAGAACTGCCAAGTGGAAGCTGACAACGTCGCAGCAGCTCGGACCAATTCAGCTGTGCCAACTGCGACAAGCAAACCAAATGAACACGAAAGAAGCATGGAAGCATGGTTTTTTTCCTTGAAGTTCAATACCTGGAACCAGCTCTTGTTTGAAAGGTCAATGAGTAGGGGGTTACAACACCAAGATTTTCTTTGTTTCTCATTTCCTCTCTTGCTCATCTTGCTCTCTTCCTCTCTTCCTTTCTTCAAAGGTCTTTCTTTTCTCCTTTCTTTCTGTCCTAGTTCTCAACCTTGTACAGTTCATATTATTACGTGAATTTCCACTTGCAGGATGTACACAAGTGGAAGACCATGGACACCGCAAAGTTCAAGGCCCCCTCGACATGATGACATGTTTGCATCGAAGATTCAGTACGATTTCAAGACCCGAAGCGGCCATATCCTTGATTTGCGCTTATATCTTCATCTCTTTTTTGCTCCGCATATGCCTTAACATTTGCACGACCACATTTGTAACAAGAGACGTCTTGAACGCTTTCTTTTCATTTTTTAAAACTTCTGTCTTCCTTTTTGTTTACAGTAATTATGTCTTCATCTCGAACCGGTCGCAATGAAACCGCTTAAACTCTGAGAAATCGCTTCGGTCATGCTCCGCATTGCTCCGCTCTCTCAGCTGGCGGTGAATGGCGGCTGCCCCTGCAATGCGCAGCTCATGTCGGAGATTGGGGCATTGAATATCCTCCTTGGCGAGACCGTAGTGGCTCACTTCGAAACAAGTGAATCCACGAATTTCCTATGACATTTCCTGCCAACACTTTACGCCGTGCTCCAAATCTGTATGACGATGCCGAGGATTACTCTGGCTCAGCTGCCTCTGTCGAGGCATCGCGCCAGGCGGCTGCTCTAAAGCCTATGACAAGCAGTTGCAGTCCGTTTTAGAGCCTTTTCAAGGCAACAGTGAGATTTTTACCTCGCGGGGATTTCGGCGAATTCTTAGATGAAGATTGTCTGGTTGAAATATATTGTTTACCACAGCCTTTGAAGTCTGTCTTGCGAGCTACTCCGCCAGATCTTCAGTGACGCTTTTCCGGAGGGTGTCGCCTGGGAAGTGCTTGAGGCCAGCGGACATGGGTGGACAAAAAAAGGACGGCAGTGGTGATGGCGGTGCGTTTGTTTCTATTTTTGAATCATTTGATGAGCCCAGCAAGTATGAACACATTTAACAGCGGAAGCGTCTTGCAAGCAGGTTCATCTAGAGGGCATTCGGAATGTTCAATCCCCAACCCTTGGAGGGATCCCTGTACCAAGTCAGTCCGAAGCCTGTGGCCGAGAACTGGCCGAGAACCCTTTTTCTGAAGAATCCACAACGTAGTTGAAGGGTTGAACCATGGGGGGAGGCCGCATGCGGTTGGAGGCCATCGCATGTAGAGGCCTGCACTTCCTCAAATGATGCCCCCGCTGGAAGGTCTACACCGGACCTCCAAACCTGCTCTTCAAGTGGCGATTCTTTGCGAAGTATAGTGGCACTTTTCGGAGCAAGGCTTGGAGATGAGAGCCAAATCGCTTTGGAACATGTTCTAGTGAGTCTGACCACGGGGAACAGTCTGAGTAAGAGGTTTCAGTTCTGAGAGTTTTCTATGTAAAAAAGGAGTAAAAAGAGAAAACACATCTATTCGATTCGTTTGCCTTTTTACTTATCTTCTTTTCTTTTCATTGAACGATTCTTGCTCAGAATGGCAAGAAGTACAAGGGCAACGGAGTGGCGACCTGAGAGACATCCCGCTTGTCACAGATCAGGTTTACACAGAAGCATGTTTAAGAAACATTTACACAAGTTGTTTCCGTTTGTAAACGTTTTGTTGGTCTTCGGACCGGCATTTATTTTTACAACCTTGGAAATCACTAACATCACAGTCACATGACATTTTTCAATTTCTGGACCTCATCCCATGCTCATTGAAACGATGTTTCCGTGGCCTGCTAGCCTAGGACATGGTCAACGTTGCGGGCTTGTGCTTGGCAAAAGTCAACGAGAAGCTAGCGATTGAGACTTGGTGTCAAGAAGCCTTGACATTGCGTCTTGCTTCAACGGAGTCTATATGTTGGCGGCGTTCCAAAGGAAGGAGTTTGTAGGGGCGAAGACAGGCCTTGCGAGAACGGTTTTGCGGTCTGGTGATTTTGATGACTTGGCCCAGAGGAAACCTTGGATTTCTACTACAATCCGGAGGACAGCGTATGAGGAATGTTCAAGTCTCATGCTCCAACTTCTCAGCGAAAGCGTTTGCAAAGAAGCCTGCCTCAATCAGTCTTCCAGGGTTTGTTTGTTGTTTGCTGCTGTTCCAGACTGCAGGGGGGTACAGGAAAGTGGAGACGAGGCATGATGATGCATTTATTTTTCCTTTCTACACTGAACTGAAGAAATTGCAGAAGAAACATAGGTTGGAGGCCATCGCTATTAGGTTGGAGGCCATCGCTATGATAGTGACGAAACAGAGAGATTGGTGTTGAGCGTTCGCGACGCTGCCCAGTGCAGGAGATGACGCGGCCGTTGACCACGACCTTGGTTGACGTGACACAACGGGCCATGGAGGATAGACCGATCAATCCAATGACACACTGTCACCTGAGCTGGTGATGATGAATTGCCATGCATATATAATTACAAATAAATATATATATATATATAAATAGCCATATAGCTGTATATATTGGCTTTTAATATACTGAATTTATATTCATTTGCAAGTCATCTACAGACCATAGATGACTTGCATACGTATTCTTTTCTGGGTTTGCAGGGTGATTTCAGCACAACTGAACCAGATATGTTCAAGCGGCACTCAATTTCTTGTTGTGAGGTGCACTCAGCTTTTCGGGTTTTGGTGATGTCCAGAGTCCAGAGATATGAACAGAATATATAGCACTCCAAGATCTGTGAGGTGGAACAGCCGGTTAGCTCTTTGCTTCAAGATTTTCTTGTATCATTAAACCTTGTTTCAGGATGAAGCTGCAGATCCCAAGGCATGTCGCACTGAAAAGACGACCGCTGAAACGACACTGAATGTGTCGTTTGTCCTTTGTTGCAGCCTGCACAGGTGGGGATTGGAGGTTGCAAAAGTGCGCTGGACAATTGCGCGCTGATGTGAAAGGTACCGAAGTGTGCCAACGACGTTTGGGAGCCTCCCAAATCCACTTCTGATGACGGCAGCAAAGTCTGCCATTTGGGGCGAAGATTTGTGCCAGGTTGAAACGAGTCTTGTGATTCTTATGCTCTGCGCAAGTTCTTGCCTATAGTTCTATATAGTTCTCTACGTAACAATAGAAATAGGCCCTTAAGCTCTTAGC